GAGGGTATAGTCTCTCCTAAGTATAGAAGCAACTTCCGGTTTGTATGTATCTCACTAATTAAATAAATATTTACATCAAATCCATGAGAGTAACTCTCCAACCCCCACAAGCCGCAAACTTAAATAGAAATGAGAATCATAGTGGCAGGCGAATCAGTTATCCTCGTAAGAAGAACTCTGAATACTATGTATATATACTAGTACCACATAAGACAGAAAGGAGGTTAAGAGGAGCTAAAAATCTACGACAAATTGAGAGATCCTATCTCAGTACTTGAAATATATCGCACACCCAACCCTCGGTAGCCAAAGAGATGATAGCGCGGAGTGGGCATGTTTTAGAGTAAGCCACGTTCTGGTACAGACTCACTCAAGCGCGGAACGGCTCTAAACGGTGATAACACAGGATGTGAGACACGCCACAACGTGTGGGCTTGGTGGTACCACTACTTGGCTGTTGGACTGGCATGGTTATCGATTATCCTTCAACGAACGTTGCCATGTATCAATGATCATGATCCGTGGGGGCGGGAATGTCACAGCGACTCGTATCCGGGTCATATTCAAACAATCCAGACTGCAGCTGTAAATTCAGCTATAAATAAATGCCAATCGCTTATTCCCCGCGCCCGGAAGTAAGGAGGGTGCTGGACAGCCCCGCGACAACTATAACGGTCACCGAACCTTCGCATATAAAGGATCAAGCCGAATGGGACAGGAGGAAATCTGAAGAGACAATGGGCCGTATGAGCGGCGTGTTTGATGAATACCAAGTCCGAAGAGGGATCCTCCTGCTGGACCGTTCGAGCAGGGAGGACACATTCCTACATTTAACTAAATACTCTGAAACGATGTTAGTTGAAATATGAATAGGTATATTTAAATAAAAAGAGAGAGCCAGGTGGGGGAGATGCCGTGCTCCAGTAGTGATCAACCATCTAGATAACCATCCCTTGAAAGAATCAATACCAGTAGTCAGCAAAGATTTCGGGGCTATCGCCCGATAAATCCTATATGTATTGACATAGCCCACACGCTGAACGGGATTTTGCGATTGTTCGTCATGGCAATCAATAAGCGGAGCGGGTTTTTTACAATCTTGCTAGAATATTCCCAGCAGAAGCCTCAGCGACACCTCTCAGAACGATATAAAAAAGGGAACCCTTTCCATTTACTCAATAAGCAGTATGGGATCTACTGGTGATACCAACAATCTCATCAAGAAGAACCCACCTTAAACCAGAGTTCTAAGTTCTTTTGAAGACAACTTATTCCTAGTTCTACACTCAACATATACAAGCCATACAATGTCGACACCAAAACCCCACAGATCCTACTTGGATCTAGTCAAGGAGTGTGATTCGTATGGCTGTACTCCCTTTGCACACAAGACACGAACAACAAACAACTGACAACCCCGTTATTAGGTTCCCATATATCCAGGATGACCCCGCGGACTACAAGGCATACGTTTCCAACTTCCATGAATTCAAAATCAATGGCTACTCTCAAATTCTCGGCTACATGCCAGATGAGATAGTCGAAAAGTTCTCATGGCCAGAGCCAACATGGAAAGTGGTCAAAGGTGTAGAAGGGCAATCTGGCACCATAACTCTCATGTCACCCGAAAATGTATCACCAGAGGAACGGACTACCTTGATCAACAACACTCTCCAGGAGGCTCGCGACACGTTTGAAGTCCTCAAGGGGAAGGGGTGGCGCAATGAAATGTATCCCATCTACGTCCCCGGGACGAACAAGCTCCTCGCCAGCATAGAGCGTTCGGCAGCATGCCTCTTTGGTATCCCCACCTGGGGAATCCACATGACCGCTTACGTCGAGAACGCCGACGGAACGTATATGCTTTGGGTTCCAAGGCGCTCAATGACAAAATCAACGTTTAAAGGGATGCTGGATAATAGCGTCGCTGGAGGGATGGCCACGGGCGAAAGGCCGTTTGAATGCATGCTGCGGGAGGCAGAAGAGGAAGCATCTCTCGATGAAGAAGTCGCGCGGAATGCGATATCGGCGGGCGTTCTACGTTATATATACGAACGTGACGAGAGGGCTGGTGGTGAGACGGGCCTGCTGCAACCCGAATGTGAATATATCTACGATCTCAAGCTTCCTCCAGATGTCATCCTGAAGCCGAAGGATGGCGAGGTGGAGAGGTTCACTCTAATGTCAGTCGACGATGTTATTATCGAACTGAAGCAGGGTAACTTCAAGCCTAATTGCGCCGTGGTTATTATCGACTTCCTAATCAGACACGGAATTCTTAAACCAGAAGATGACAACCATTACGAGGAGATCTGCTCGAGATTGCGCCGACGTATTGAATACGCGAACATCTAATGGAACACTTTCCATTCCAACCATTTGCATTTGTTTCGTTTTCATGCTTTCCCGTTCCGCAGCATCCCTAGCCTGAGGTTGTACGCCCCGATAGAGTTGGCACAACCAGTTTACCTTTCTCTGTTTGAAGTCCTTGCTTAGTTAAGTTCTTATTTTTAATAGTAACTATAAAAAATGAGAGAACGCCCACGCTCAATGCCCAAGCTCTAAATAATAGGACCGTAATTGAATTTTGCGTCTCAGTTCATTTGAACCCATTCGGTTCTGCTCATGGTCTTGTGCATGCGCAGAAACCACCAAGAAATACTCGAAACTTTTCTCCCCAATACATATGTTTAGATCCACTATTTTTTCATCAAAAGATAGATATAGTCGATCCTAAGCGGACTGAGCTTCTTATATGGGCCCTCCAAGTAGAGCAAAAGACCTCCCAAAGGAAACGAAAACGGACCTGCAGAGGATCAAAAAGAAACACTATTAGCCAGCGCGCCCACAGTAAATAAAAGGAAAAGCAAAAAAGAAAAAGAAAATAGGACGAATCCAATAGAAATACAAGGAATATAAAAAATATTCAATCTTAAACCCACATATTCTCCGCCGTATTCCCTTCTTCAAACCGATACACTTTACCATGACAAACGTAGTCATAGTCATTCGCCAACGTTTGGTCCCCCATGCCAACATCTCTCCAAGCACCTCTACCGCCTGCGCTATCATCTTTCCCATCGAGAGCAAGCGTCGACGCAAGCGCGAGAGATAATGACTCTCCCATCGCGACGGGATATAGTTCTGTGTTCACATCGAGGGTGAAGGTGGTTAGGTTGTCGGAGGAGGTACAGTTGATACGCGCTACACGGTCGTATTTCTGCGCATTGATGGCTGTGATGGTGAAGGTGTCTTCAAAAAGGACAGGGTCGGACATCGTCGCGGCGATGGAGGGGCGATTGTTCTGAAGGGAGGGGATGGAGGAAGGATTGAGCCGCAAATTGCGGCCTAGGCCGTAATAGTTGGATTTTTTGCGTCTTTTTGTTTGGAGTGTGGAGGCTTTGCTTTAACGTGCGTGAGGGCATTACCGGGGAATTGTAGAAATAACACGCTTTTTGTTTAGGCTTGGTCTGGTCTTGGGAGCTTTGCGATGCAGTTGCGGAAAAAAATATGTTTGTCTATAGTATCAGTGCTGCTTTATGACTAATTCTGCAAACCCTAAAGCAGCGGTTGATAGATTACTCCATTGAACTTCTCTAGTACCTGCGAACCGCAGCAGATCCTTCAAGATCCTCTTCTGTTCGCTATCATGTCATTCCGTAAAAGGAATGTCGGGCTGTCGCCAGGCTTATCCCGTGGAATTCCTCCCAATGCCACCGATTCGCAACCTCCGCAATTGCCGCGCAAGGCGACTTTGGGACTCCGTGCCTCACCCGTGGATGGGAGGCAGACTACCTCTACTGGCACTCCCTCCTTGGATAATTTATTAGCAGGACATGCGGGATTTGTGCTAGGGAATTCCCTTCTGATTGAAGAAAGCGGCACAACTGATTTCGCGGGCGCTTTGTTAAGATATTTTGCTGCGGAGGGCGTGGTTCAAGAGCATCAGCTTCATGTCATCGGGGTCGGTGAGCAATGGGGAAGAGCTCTTCCTGGGCTTGTTGGAACAGGAGAAGCTGCAGATGATAAACCTAGTAAAAGAACGGAGGAGAGAATGAAAATCGCCTGGAGATATGAGCGATTAGGAGAGTTTGGCGCTGGAATTGCGGGGTCAAGAGGTGCGCTGGTGTTTCATGGTCTTTCCCCACGACTTTGTTGGACCATAAGTCCACGGGAAAGTGCTCGAAAGGCTAACTATTTATTTAAGCAGTCCCTGCTCCAACAGTAGAGAAAGCTCCGGATTCATCACAATCCTCTCCCGCGCCACAGGTGTTCTGTCATACGTTTGATTTAACGAAGCGCCTAGCCCATTCCTTGCTTCCTGCTATAAATTATATCCCTCTTTCAACATCCCCAACACCAAATGCTTCTCCATTTACATCTGCCCTCCATCAACTGTCTATCGCGATATCAACTTCACCACGAAATATCATCCACCGAATTATTGTTCCATCCCTGCTCTCTCCAGCTCTATATCCCCCACACGCCAGCCAACCCGAATACGTATTGCAGTTTCTACATTCCATGCGCGCCATTCTGTCGACCTACTCCAGCCGGGCAACAGCGATGATCACCCTCCCATTATCCCTATACCCTCGAACCTCGGGTCTTACTCGATGGATTGAATTGTTGAGCGACGGTGTTATCGAGCTTGCACCTTTTCCCCACCTTTCAGACGCCAACCCATTTGCCACATCGGGAGCCGCCACAGCACAGGAGGAACCGCCACAGGGTTTGCTCAAAATCCATCGGCTACCGGTTTTGCACGAACGAGGAGGTGGGGGCGGAGAGCGTAGTTTGGGTGACGATTGGGCTTTTACTCTTAGCAGGAGGAAATTCGTGATTAAGCCGTTTAGTCTACCACCCGTAGAAGGAGATAATGAGGCACAGCAAGGCAGCGCTTCAGGTGGCCCGAGTAAAGAAGACCTAGAATTCTAATCATCTCCAAACCGCGTTTCCGGGCAATTTGATGCCGTAACCAATATCTCAATTACGAAGCATCGCTGTCATAAGTGTCTCCGCGATCTCTAAACATGTCATCTAACTCAATCTGCTCGGACATGGCAGAACCACTATTTGTCATCGTCCGTAAGTAACTGCGACCATAGACGGCATCTCTAGGGTTGATAGAAAAACCAGCAATGCGGGCACGGAAGCTCTCCCCGAGACAGGAAGTTAATGCTAGAAATGCTGTTCACGAGTTATGTCAACTCGGGAATGCATAATGCGGTCGATTGTGTAGGTGCTCACCAATAAGGAGGAAAAACGGCCCCAGTAGAAGGAGGCTGAGAAGCAAGATGACATTCATTGGAATAGTCAACGGCAATGGTCTGTATCCATATAATATTAAATATCAGAACAGGACATGGCGCGGCATCGTCAAGGCACTCTGAATTCAATGGGCGTATATTCCGTGGTTGAATGGGGTTCAAAAAAGCTGGACAGGTTCAAAAGCTTTCAAATGACAACTTCAAGTTTTTTTGAGCCTCATTCAACACCCTTGCTCTAGTACGTTGGAGAGAAAAAGGGTCTATGTTTCTCAAACGCTAATCCTCGAATTAACCCTCATTTTCTAAGCCTAGTATCCAAATCCTAATTCTAATATCTCCTAGTACTTCTAACTTCTAGTTCTGCCTCAAACCCAGAGGTGGATTATGGAGTTGGTGCTCACAGTAGTTTAGTTTTGCACCAGGCAAATTCAATCTTGGGAGCCAAGTCACATGATGAGGTGCATAGTTCAAAAAAGACTTTTCGGGCATAAACTGCAAACTCGATAATTTTCTCAATTCATCATGCAGCTGAGGTGGTCAACCATTCGACGCTCATGACAATGTGTATCTCGTAAGTGAAATTATACCCCCTGACACACCCTTTCTTAAATGATTAATTCTCTACAAATCTGTCAATCCCCTGATAACCCGATTACATCTGGGTTCAAGTGACGAGAAACGTAAATTCTTTTATGATTCATTGCACGCACACTGCTAGTATATATCAATGATGTTCATGACATAGATTGGGAATGGCTGACTGCTTCCGCCAGTTTACTCAGATACATACAATCGTTCTTAGCTGTTCCGGGTCAATGACCCATTGATCACCATGGGAAGCATTCCAGACCTGCCAATTCCCATATCTCTGGTATCCGGCCATTATTTCCTGTTCTCAGTCGACACAGTGACATATCTCCGTCGGGAGCACCACATTTGCGGCGTGTTGATAGGGACTCTTCCACAAATTCCCCAGCAGAATGTCTTCCTTGGGCTTCCCCTGGAGCTCATGCCCGAGGAGGCAAGACTACTTGTAGTAAAAGGCGTGGCCTATATCGTTGATGATGCCAAAGTCCATGATGATCGCATGCAACACTTAACTAACCAGGACCGGCGTCGGTACCTGCAGAACTTTGAGGAAGAAGGGCGTCGAGCAGCACTTCTACAGGCTGGCCGTAAGGAACAAGAAAGAGAAGAAGCTCTCAAGAAATTAGAATTGAGAAACACACATAAACCGGCAGAATCATTACTGAACCAGAGTCCTGTGCCTTCTCAAAATGCCATTGAAGAGGGGTCTGAGGAACAACTCTTTCACAGCTCTTGTCAAAGTTCGTCCTCAGTCCCAGCACCTTCCAGGCAACCCCTTACTACAGAAGCTGTTTTTGGAATTACTCCCGCAACATCTGATGGCTTATTTCCGAAGGCTCCACCCCTTCAGCCTCCCACTTTTCCAGACGTTCCACCGTCGTATCCACTTTTTGCCCACTTACACGCGAAAGGGTATTTCCTATCTCCCGGACTCCGTTTTGGGTGCCAGTACCTTGCTTATCCCGGTGACCCTTTACGTTTCCATTCCCACTTCCTAGTTGTCTCTGCGGAGTGGGATGAAGAATTCGACATCATGAACTTAGTTGCTGGCGGTAGATTGGGAACTGGTGTTAAGAAGGGCTTTCTTATTGGGGGTGTGGAGTCATTCGACGACAGTCATGTCGAGACTTATCCCGATGTTGTGAGGACTTTTAGCTTCGAATGGGCTGGGATGTGATTTCGGAGAATATTTGTGGATGATTTTATGCAACCCTTGATAACCGTCGGCTAGGGCTTGTCACTCCTATTGCCAGGGTATTTGTCTGGCAACGGTGTGTGCTGTGTTTCTTCAAGCTGATAGGTTTTTCGTGACCTAATCCTCCGCTTGCCCAGAACCGCTGATGAGGAGCGATGTGTCACTCCGAGCGACCGTGATGGACAGGAGATACTCTGAATATCGCGAAACCCTTGAGGCTGACCAGCTATTAAGAGGGTCAGCGATAACTTCATGCTGTAAGCTTGGGCTGGCTATCTATGGATAGGTCGAGCGAAATACCTGTTTACGCGAGAATGCCTCCAATTCAACACACCAATTGGCTGCCTGTCGTAAAATATAGACAGTTAACGCAATTGGATGCGGGGGAACTAATGGAAGAGCATTGAGAGCGAATCTTCTGTGGTATTAATTTCATATATGATACTACGCGTTTTAGAAGCCTAGTACTATGACGCCTTTCAAAAAGCAAACGCCATATCACATTGAAGAGTTACTGTTGGAATGAGAAAAAAATAATATCAATGCAGCCCTTAAGCGCTCTTTCATTCTGTTGCTTTGTCCTTTTTTTCCTCCGCCATTCCCTTTCGGGGTGCATCGCCCCATAGACAACATGTATGTAGGGGATTGCGTCGTACGCTTGAGGAACAGGATACTCGGGATTTTCGGATTTTCTTGGGACGGGTATATGGCGATTCATAGAGCGACTCAATACACACAGTGATTCCTTTGGCACAGTTGTCGATGGTGAGATCAAGGCGGATGCAATGACAACTAAAAGATTCCAACTATTTAGCAAAAAAGTCAACAAATTGTTGTTGAATCATGCTGTTCTGTTTGTTATGGTTTCTGGTTTAAATAGCCTGCACTGGATATCCACAGCCTGTTATCTTTTCTCATATTGTCTCAAGGTAACGTCGATGTAAAAGCACTGATCAACAACCCATTGTAACCAGGAGTGGGCTTCAAATAAATCAAAATACACCACTGGAATTCTTCATCGACTCTATATCCCTCTCGTGTTGAGTTTTGCCCTGTTACCTTGCCTGCCACATTGGAAAATCCCCCAGTCGATCACTTTCATGGCCTCTGGTTGCTCTCCTGACTAACTGGATGTTTTCATTCTCCATTACAGGTCGCAGATCGAATGTTACAAACACATGCAAATACCAAGATTGTTTCCTTCGTCTCATCCTGGACGAAGCTCATAATGGTCAACTCCCTCTCCGCAGACTCCCACGCCGTCGTCCAATCCATGGAATATTGCTATATTTTGGATTAGCACAGCTAACCTTCAAATTCGCACTACGTAATAATACCTAAGGACGAAACGATGGATAAACGGTTCCCACAATTCTGTGGTTCCCTCTACCAATACGTTTCTTCCCCAGATGGCCAGGGCTGTGAAGGTGAATAAGGTAATATCAGCCAATGATTGGGATTGCTGGGCTGCATTGAAATCGATGGGGTGACGAGCAATGTAAAGTCATTTACCACGAATAAATTCAGCTTTCCATTAAAATAGATCTTTTACCGTCTATCTTAAATTTTATGGACAATAGGGAAAAGTAGGGTTTTATTTGAGGCTACCTGAAAGATGGGATCAAGATAGAATGAAATAAAGCTTACAACATTCATCCACCCTCTAGTAATAAACATAATAGCATATTGGTCGCCAGACCTATCTCGCCGATTGAAATGCCCACCTAACAAACGCTCTAGGCTCAGAAGTATTTCCCCATTTCAGACGGACGTAATATCGAAAAAAATAAATAGGGTGAAGTTTGCATCCCTCAACGCAAACTCCATCCTTTCCCCCGTACGACGGAGATACAGGGTGACTTGCATGGCACACGGGCCAAAGAAATGACATAGCTTTCTTGTCCAGCAAATGGTGACGCAATTAGGGCTCAGCATGGGCTATCTTCCTCTTCCAGTATGCTGTTTTCCCAGTATATACAGATATGTGGGAGTCTTATAGATAGTTTCGAAGATGCTTTAGTATGAGGGTCCGTGTAGGTGCTTAATTGGCGAAAAAACGCTGTGGAACCTCGACCGAGATGCTAGTTGGAGGCCAGGAAATTGAATTTGGTGGTAATTAATTGGAAGTCCGACGTTGGGAGAACTTAAAGATAGTCCAAATTCTTCCACTTAAATTTTTTGTTGGCTCTATCAACCGGCCTGTTCTCGAATTGGCTGCCATGTAGCTCGAAAATAAAATCAGGCTGGTTGGTTTTCACATCTTCGCGACTACTAGGGAGTAGAGGCACTTGGAAACGAAATATCGTATGCTCCTTTGGGATTGCTAGGAGATATGTTAGTTGGAAAAAAAAGCATGCGCATAGATGTCGTAACATACTCTTAGCTTCATCCTTCTCTGTCACTACGACGAATGCAAATTTGGAGTCCCTCACAACTATGCCCTTCAGGCCAACGCGGCTAACACATCTGCTACGTACGACCTCAAGCTCAGCTCCATGGAAATCTGCGCTGGCAAGTAAACTTCCATGGGTCAAAGGATTAATATAGGTTTGGGGATTGTCCCTATTCAGGTCTAGCACGTCATGCATGTATTCAATCCACATCTGATGAAGGCCTTTGAAGATGTCATATTTCATCTCATCCTTTGGAAGGTTATAGATGCCAGTGATTCTCTTCTCTCGAGCAGAGAGGGGCTTGGGCTTTTGTTTCCGCAAAAAATATTCCTTTTTCCGCAAACGGTGGAGTCGTCGACGAGCACGGTTATCGGCTGGTGATGGGGACGTTGAGCGCAGGAAGAGAGGTTTCCGCTTTACTCTCTCCGTGAAAATGTTTGAAGCTGTATCAGGCGAATGCGCGCGGGCTATCAGCTGCTGCGCGATATGGGCGCCACTCCTATTGGGAACAGCATCTGAAGGCGCCATGGTTGTTGTGGAAGCTCCTCAGAAACATAACTTCCACGGTTGAGGCTGGAGAAAATAGATGCTGACTAAACAGTGCACCAAACCAACACGCCAACACACGAAATCCGTCTCCGTCGAGCTCAAGTCAATGAGCAACCCAGGCATAGGCTAACTAAAGCGTATGTTTGATGAAACAGAAGCAGGCTAGACGTTCGAAGATGTCAAATTGCCATGTGATAGATGTCTTCAGACACTGAAATTTCCGAAGAGTTTAATTATACAAAGAGTATAGCTGCTTCACAATCAACTTTCTACCACTCACCACATATAGAAACAGCTGACAGAAAGCCAGATATCTCAACGTGATTAAGCATTGCTACAGTAGAGCTAGTAGTACTCATGGCAGTTTATGTATGATCTGCGACTCCAATGAAAAATCAATGATCTTCATGGTCCAAAACACTTGGAATATATCGAAACCGGGTTTATCTGCCAGCAAACCTTGATTCTCAAGAGTGTCCTGTGAGCGACTGGCTATCTCATATCAGAACCACTTTCTTGCCGGCTATTTCAGTTCCTACAGCATCTTTCCATGGATTTTGGTCTCGGCAATTTCAGCATCATGGCTAAGAAGAAAGTAAGGGGCGATTTATGGCTAATGTGGAGCTGTAAGAATCATCAAAAGGCCGCAAGGAGAGCAGAGCTTCGAATGGGTAGTATTTGAACCCTGCTTTGTTCGTTCGTCTTAGCGTGATAATTCATCGAGCGGCTTCAATTGAACCGCTCGGATTTGACTAATTGTTCGACCTCAGACGAGGATGGATATGCTTCTGCTCCATATTGAGCAAAATTCGCAAAATGCCTGGACCCTGACGTGTCTGTCAGTCAGCCTGGACTCATGGTGCTGATTTGACATTTTTATCCGCTGTAGCATAGTTCGGGAATTCTGGCGGTTTACAATGTTGCAGCCATGAAGATTGGAAAGGTCACAAAATCTAGTATCTCTGGCCAAAACTCAACCACGAAAAACAGGTCCTCGGCATATCTGCTTTTTGCCGCATCACGAATCTGGAGATTGGAGGCAATCAACATAGCGGGAGAGCTGAGCCCCGCGGCTATCTTCTGAGGCCTATATATCCTTCTTATTTCTCCTGAATAGTGTCTCTCAACCTAAACTATAAATGTTCCATTTGTCCGCAGGCAATATATTTGCCAATAGCCCCACGATCGAAAAATACCATGTCTTATGAAGAGAACTTTGTCGGAATCCCTCCGTTCCCAGATGATGTTCTTTGCACGCCGCTTCTGCGTCTCTCGATGGAAAAGCTCATAGCCCATGACGAGACTGAAGTGCAACGTTTTTATACCGCATGCAAGGACTTGGGGTTCTTCTATCTGGACCTACGCGGCCACGAAATCCTCGAAGATGCCAATCAGCTCTTTAGCACCGGAGAGCAGCTGTTTGAGCTAGACCTCGACGAGAAACGACGGTATGATTTTAGCAAAGAAAATTCATACTTCGGATATAAAGAAATTGGCGCCACGGTCGTTGATTCGCAAGGGAATTCTGATAGGAATGAATTCTATAATGTATCCTTGCCCCTTCAGAAAAGCCGGTCACCCGGACTTGCAAGTGTCAAGATACCTGGCGTACTGGAAAATTTCAGATATATGACAATGCTAGCCGCCAAGGTAGAAAGGGGAGTTCAATGAAGAATAGCTAACTAGAAACGCAACAAGGTTTCCAAAGACGATATTCTTGGAATCTCAGAAACGCTACCAGCACCTGACCTCCTCAAAGAATGTCGATCACTTTTCAAATCATTCATAATCAATGCGCACAACATCGCAACCATGATCCTGAACCTTCTGAATGACAGTCTCCACCTTTCCCCATCTACCTTAGCCAACATGCATCGCCTCCACGCTATCAGCGGCGACCAGGTACGAATAATTAAGGCACCACCGCAGCCGCCAGACGACAGGCGCACGTCGCTAGGTCAACATACAGATTTCGGCAGTGTAACCGTCCTCTTCAACCGAGTGGGTGGCCTACAAATCCTGCCACCAGGCCAGGACGCGGAGTGGTGTTACGCGCGGCCCCTGCCGGGCCATGCGATCATAAATTTAGGCGATGCCATGGTTAAATTCACGAACGGACTTTTACGCTCTAACATTCATAGGGTCGTGTCTCCCCCCGGTGCACAGGCTGAGACTACCAGATACAGCCTGGTGTACTTTGCACGACCAGAAGATGATGTCATTCTCAAGCGGCTGGAGGGAAGTGATTGTATCCCGCCACTTACACTGCGAGACGAGGCCGGGGCGGTGGTGGAGGAAGAGGAGATCAGGAGCAAAGATTGGATTATTCGTCGTGCGTTAGGGAATCGGCGGGCGCTGCATAAGGAGATTGATTATGCACAGAGTATGGGCACGGAGACGATGAGTCGGAGAATATATGGCTAATTTGTTTTAAGGGTGTTTGTTTGGTTGTGATTGGTGGTACTTAATGTTGTCGCAAAAGCGATGTGCGCAGGATGAAGACTGTTGATAATAGTGGAAAATCTGCATTTGCAGTAGGTGCAACTCTACTTCGCAAATTGCATTGCGCGTTGCCATTTATGGAATTTATAATAGATGCTAATATCGATTGTGCAACATCGTGTTCCCAGCAAGGAAAATACTCCTTTTATCTGATGAGCAGATATTTCCGACACTATTAAGCGGGGAGATTTGAATCCAAGAAATATACTCATAATCAAGAAGCAAATAATATATATGTATTCCCAAGCCTGGGTCGTTTTCATGATTACGCAGTACATATGTGACTTTTCTAAAACCTTGCCTGGTTGGAAGTTGTTGAACTTGGTGTTCTCAAGCTGGGGAAAAGGGGGTACGTATGCAGTATGGGGCTAGATTCAAGATTCAAGTCCACCACGGACAGCCACCAAGAATGCAATCAAAACAGCATCGAAAAAACAGGTAATAACAAATATCTCAAGTATCATATTTGCGATAGATAGTTTTTTTTACTTTTTTACTCCTCGTGTCCTGGAGATATGTAGGAGTTTAGAACAAGCATCAAAAATAAAAAATCAAGGTAGCCGGTCTCTAAGACTCCTCTCTAGGAGTCTCTACAACGGGGGAAAACAAAACAAACATGCGGCAAGGTCAAAGTATCAAAGCAAATAGGAAGTTGAGCGAGTGCCGAATTATCTGCATATAGAAAACATTCTTCCAATCCTTTTCCTCCCCACACTCTAAATGCCAACAGCGATCTGGCCACTCTCTTCCCTACCAATAAGATGGAGAAACGAACACAAAACCGCGTAATCCAAAACCTGAATGACGATGATATAGTAATAGGTAAATGCAACTGCTCGACGCCCATGGCTAACCCTGCTTCGAACTCTTCACCTACAGAAGTCCAATTAATCCCGCACCACCCGCGACTACTGCCGCAAATACATTAAACAGCACGGTCCCTTCACTAAAAAGGGCAGATGCAGCACCAGGAGAAGAGGTGGAGCTAGCGGCACCAGTACCAGTGCCCGTACCAGAACCAGTAGCAGTTGGGCTATCGGAAGCCGTCCACGAGGCAGTTCCTGATTGTTTTGCCCCCCCGTTCTCACTGAAGATACCGCCTTGGACTTGATCTGGTCGGACGCTCTTGGCCTCTTTGGACGCGGATTTGTAGGCGTCAAGAGTTTTTTCATTATCCCTGGAATTTTTTTTTCGCAATATTAGACACAATGACAAAGGAAAATGAGAAAAGGAATAACAATTAAAACATGGAGTAAAGTACTCACGGCGGATTGATGACAGCACTCATGCCTCCCTGACAATGGCGGGGGGTCGAGCAGTAGAGCCAGATGGGGTTTGTATTGTTGATTCTCACGGTGAAGGTAGCATCAGGCTGGCTGCCGTCAGCGTTGATGAGACCAGAATAGAAACCGCCGTCTGAAGGAGCGCACGGCGCATCGAATTTCCCTTCAGTGACGTCGTGGTTTTTGGGAAAGAAGTGGAAAACGATATCATCCCCTGGTTTAGCTTTGATGATGTCGGGGTTAAAGTTGAGACCCTTATCGCCAACGTTGACGTCTATTGTCGCTGCTGAGGCGACTCCTATGAGGGCGATTGTGCTGATTATGGATTTCATGACTGCTCTTTCTTTCTTCTCCTCTTCCTTCTCAGTGTAGTTTGTAATATTAGAACGCACAAAAATTTAAGCGGACGGACGAATGGGTTTTCTCAAAAAAAAAAAAAAAAAAAAGGGTCCGGAGGCAGGATTATATGTGTTTTTCTCTAACAAGGCATAAAAATAAAATAACAAAAAAGCAAGTTAAGAGGATTCCGGAAGTTGGATAACTCTTTATAGAGATCGCTCCAGCCCTGTCGAGCGTCCAAGAATCGCCGCAACACCTCATCTTTCAGAGGTAAGCCAGCCTTAGCAATTAAGGAATATGTCATCCTTCAATTCAGGAAATCCTTTACTCGTAGCGTCGCAAGATGTGCAGGCATTCTCATGTTTGCCCTAAAGATGTCACCCAAGCGCGTGGAATTGGATGTTCGTGCAACAGCCAAGGATTGTGTAAGTCCCATTGCGCCGGAGTTCGGTTTGATCAGAACACCCACCCTTGTTCAGCGAAGCAGGGCCGTTAAGAGAAGTACACGATTTGGGCATTCGCTTTCAATTGACCCTTGATCCTTTTTGGAGATCATTTGTGATTTATGAGTGGTGCTGTAACGTTGGAGGTTTCAGCTGCAGAAGCTCCCAAGAACTTGGCTTGGCATGGGGATCTTGGGATGTCACACTTGTGGGGGAATTAAAAATATCAGCATCTCAGCATGCAGCACAATCTGGGTTCCTAAACTTAGAGGGTATGGTGGAGAATATGTAGCGAAAGCTGAATACTTCGATATTGTTCACCAATACATTGCTTCGGCCATTGATTTCTTGTTGCTCCAACAAAAAATAATCGAAGGACCGGAATTCGCATTCCCGTGGGGCTTGGTGGTGTTCTGGTTGGAATGTTTACTCATGCGGAGCGGAATGCTTTCTGGCCAGGATTGTATCAAGCTTGTTTTTCCTCCAAGTATGTTCACTACTCTTCCGATGAGAAAAGAACAAACGGATCAGTATCACAAGCGGCAAACTTGCTAACAACATAACCGGGTGGACATTGGAACGGAATGTTGCCGGCATTTTTCAAAGAAATGACTCCAGAGTCGTAGCGACTCGCATTTCATGTTCTTTTAAGGTTTCGTCACAAATAAATGCGCATGGAAACGCCTGTGGCTGATTGCCAGATTGAGTGGCTGCAGAAAACCCATCCGTGCAGGGGTGTCACGGCCTGGCTTCTGCAGAAGATGATCAACCTGGAACGAATGAACTAAGATGGCTTCATGAGCAATAGGCAACAAACAGATGGCTATATTGGAGATGTTACTGGCATGCCGACGCGTGGACCTAGCAGAAAGCGCCTTAAGATAAAACATGTCATTATATTAGTAGAAGAATTAAACTCCGAGCAGATCAGGGGGACTCACAACATTGTGATTCTAACCACTTAAATGAATGAGGGTTGTTGTAAAATGTCCAGTAATGTGGGGTAAGAACCTTAGTGGTCTAATCATCCCCATATCTTTTTTATACTACATAGTATGCTTGAGCCGAAGGAATGCCTGGCGGAGTTACTTGACGTTTGTTGGGTTTCATGCCATATGCTCCGGATATCTGGGCGGCGACTGATGTAACTGTAACTGACCACGGAGGTACGTATTCAATTTGGGGTTTTCGGGTGTAGATATCAGGCTTTGAGACCCTTGAGGTTCACGTACCCCGGGCGTAGGAGGATTCAATCTTATTCCCTAGAGTGCAAGGAGTCTACCTCGTCATGGGTATATCGTTCGTTCTTCTTCCACAAGAGGCTGTTACAATGAAAATCAGATTTCCAGAAGCCATTTCCACGAATAACTTTGAAATTCTTTGTGGAAATGTGGCTCTCGAGAAACGGTTTCATTCATCAACTGACTTATTTCTGAGACGTATCGAAATCTTGTCAATATGGGGTATCTCCAGTCCATCGCCTGGAGAAGCAGCCTGCAACTAGCCGTTAGCTTCGGCAACTTATCGCTCCATTAAGCCAAGTGAAACTCTGGAGCTCGAGGACTTGGACTATGACGGTGCATCATTTTGTCGCTATAATTGGAAATCCTGAGTTGGCAGACAATCTCTATCAGCAATACTACCAGCTGCCAGTCATTACAATGGCGGGTACAAACAATCAATATTTTGAAGCTATATGGCACGCAAGTGAGCAGCTCAGCTGTCCTTGAAATGTCCATGTTTGGGGGCTGTTGGTATCAAAATGGGGAACATAATTGTGGCCAAGACCTCACCCACATTGCCCCTTTGGGTGGGTCCCACCCAAACGATATTTTCATCGCAATGATATTTTTCAATTATTCCTCAACTATTCCATACTATTATTATTCAAATATTAATATCTCAACCACAATATGACTAAATTTTGTCAAATCACTGAAGATCACATTCTAGAGGCAGTAGATGCCTATAAATATGATACAACTCAAAAAATCAAACCTCTGTTGTGTGAATATAAGGTCAGCTATTAAGCCCTCTGCAGAAGGATCCAGGGAGTCAACCCACAAACAAAGAACAAGCCAATCAATTGTTTATTGGATTCCACACAAGAGGAGGCCTTAAAAGCATGAATTGCACAGTTGGATAAGACTGGTCAACCCTCCACCATTGAGGTGATTCAAAAAAGTGGCGTTCCGCCCCTGGTCTCCCTTCCGCCCTGCTCCTTCCGCCCCTGCATTATTATTCCTCCTATTCTTCCCGTATGCTGCGATCGCTCCTTCCTCTGGATTGGATCGCTGACGGGATGACTACGTATATATATAGGGGCGTTCGCCCACCCTTCTAGATTAGAGAAACTCAGACATGAATTATCCTACCAATTGAACGGCGTACGCCATAAAAAATACATGAATTCAATCCTTGCAAAGTGTCATATAGATCCTGCAAATCCTCCTCTCACTGTTGATCACAACTGGCTCTATAGATGTATCAAACACCTTGATGATTATAAGTGAATTACACAGTGTTCAATGGATCCAAAATGAGTGTCTGCAGAGGATATTGAGCTTATAAAGATGTGGTTTGACAGATTGAAAATCACAATGAAGCAATATGGCATTCTACCCATGAATTGCTACAATATGGATGAGATTGAATTTCAAGAGGGTCAAAAATGTGCAGAGTGAGTCATTACAGTCTTTAAAAAAGCAAATGCAGTTCTATCCTCATTCTTTTCACAGTTATTGAACACAGTAATAGAGTGTATATTCACAGATGGAGAGATTCTTCCACTCTGTGTGATCTTGTGAGGTAAGAATCTATTGAAGGATTGGATTACACTTACAAACTTCTCTGATTTCTGACTTCTAACTACCTCTTCTACTGGCTATACAAATGATGAGATTGGGTATCAATGGCTGCTTCATTTTGATCACTATTCAAAGAAATGACAGATTGATGGATATAGACTTTTTCTTGCAGATAATCATGACTCTTATCTAATCTGTGAATTCATTACTTATTGCAACAAAAACAACATCATATTATACATCTTTCCTCCTCACAATATACATATTCTACAACCTCTGGATGGTCTATCCTTTCATCAATATAAGTACTTTCATATCAGAGCAGTCAAGTAATCTGTGAAGGATTTCAACAATTTGACAAGCAAGAATTTCTATATAATCTATCTGCAATTCACAAAAATGTGTTCAAATCAGTCACTATTAAACACAGCTTCTTTAGCTGTGAAATTCTTTCTTATAACTCTGATCTTGTTCTTGACAAATTAGAGGCCCACCTTTCTGCTGTTTCAGATCTACAGATTTGGGATGATAACAAAACTGCAGAATTACATTTATCATTTTCAGTGACATTCCCATCAAAGAATATACATGATCTCTGATATAATATTACAAAAGCAAAAGATGTATTGAAGGATATTGAGAACTATTTTAATGACAGTTTTTTTAAATTGAATTGTCATCTTCAGAATATATTTACAAAGAGTTTAATACAGATGGAACTCAACATTCAATGTGAGTGAAACCTCAATCAACTTCTTACAGCTCATCAACATCAAAAAGAAAAAAGATCATAAAGACAGATTAATATAGAAGAAATGATGACTGTCAAGAATGTCAAAAGTCAGATTGCAGAGTATAAAGCAGAAGATATGCAGAAATCCATCAATTGAATACAATGAGAGCTTGCAGCAGCTGCATGAGTGCCAGACACACAGGCAGCTGAACTGTAATGCACTCGTTTATTATTTCCTTATTGTGGGACCCACCCAAAGGGGCAACGTGGGTGAGGTCTTGGCCACAATTACTGTTCTCTTGCAACACTGTAGATAACATGAGAAGTCAGGAAAGGCCCCGGCAATGTTAAACATGACAAGATGGCCGAGTGGTTAAGGCGTACCGTTCAAGTCACGTGAACAACTTGGAAATCTCTAGTAAAGATTTCCGGATCCGGTATGGGGAAACCCGCGTGAGTTCGAGTCTCGCTCTTGTCAACATCAATTATCTTTTTTTTTCTCCTTCAGTATATCTGAGCTGCGTGAAAAGTTATCAGGCATTTCAGCTGATATTTTCATTGCCGTTTCGAGATGGGGTATCATGCCTTCCTCGTCTATACGAAATTTGTGAGAATGGCCAGACCATCCCACTAGGAAGTATGCTTCTCTACCTCATCCATACCACAGATCCTAAGGTTCAATCAAGAGCATATTCCCTTGCTCGTGCCATTGATTCCTTTGCCCCTGAGTCCCGCCGGGTACGGCATTACGGGAACCAGGCCTTCAGCTACCAGATTTTAATATAAGGGTTGCATGCCCCTTACACATTGGTCTGATAATGTTGAAAAGTTCTCTTTCAACCAATCAGTTGGACTTTATTGGTGATTTGTGTCCACCTCCCCACAAATTTTCCAATATCTTGGATGATTCAACACAGTCACGCTTCTCTTAATCCAATCCCCATTCGGCAAGAATACTCATACTCACATCTGTATCTGTGAGGGAAAAACGTTCCTCGTCGGCATCAACATTTATTCTCCATTGCTAAACAGAGCAAATTGGGAGAAGGATACGTAATTTGCTGAGGCCGGAGACCCTCAGCCCATAACCCGTGAGTTCTGGCGAAAACGAAATCGTATCCCAACTGATTGCCGAAAGAGATATAAGGCTCGACGATAAAATGTCCTGCGTTGCAGGTGCAGGGCCTTAATCAGCATTGGTAATACTGCTGCAAGTAGAAATATAGATAGAATGCCTTCTATCAATGGAAAAAGAAGAATAATCGCTGCTGATGAAAACTAACTGGCAGCAAACCTCAACTCGTATGGGGCGCTTGCAATTCGTAGATATCTGCCAGTGGAGGTGAGATAGAAATCGGTAGTCGCTGAACACAAATAAATACCATGATGGACGCGTGGCTATCATATTCTCATTGCCCAAAGCCGTCTAGGAAGCAGGTTTGTCGAGTGGGAAAATATATTTGGAGGTGATGTATTGACGAGGGGTTCCTTGGTCCCAATTCGCGATAGCCTTCACCAGCCACGAACATCTGGGCAGAAGTGTTCGAAGTGCGTAAAAGCATAACACCACAGAATAGCACCAGCTCATCGTGTGAGTCGATAGGGTTTTCAGCGTTAATATCTCCGTGTCGAACGTGGAGAGTGATTGATGTTCCAGATTGCGCACCTGTTGTTGGATAATGTTCAAGAAACAAAGGATGTCTCTCCAAATTGGCCATCATTTCGAATTCCTGAAGGTCGCGCGGTTGCTGCAGAAAGGCTTCTCGGATTTACTGGCAAAATGGGCGAACCAAGTGAAGCCAGCATGGCACTTTGAAGTTGTTCATACTCGTAATTTGGAGGCGAACGATGATGAGACCAAGCCCCGCGATGAATTGGCGGTAAGGACTTGAAAGTAATTCTTTCAAGCATTCCCGCCATCAATTACATTGGCTTTCTGCTATTACATATACCTTCTTCCATTGGATTTCTCCAAGTTTGAAAAAAAAGTAAAGTATCGGGGATGCCGAAGATGTTCATCAGACTCCGTACCTGCCCATACTGTATCAGAACAAAACGCAGCGAACGTAATAACCATACGAGACATACATCGCTTGTTTCGATACAATACAACCAGGCTATGGCCGGGCCGCGGAGTCACCCGGTCAGCACAGACCCTATGATCTTCCAAACCCAGAGTTCAGCGACGATACAGAGGCCAACAAGCGTATTACAAGCGTGGCCCGGCTTGCGTTCCCCGGAAGAGCCGTCGCTAGGGTCTCGGTGCAGCCAACAATCGGCACGAACTGGCGTAGCCAGCGGCGTGCTGGAAAAATACTAGTAAAAATACAATCCGCTTGTTTTGATATGAAAAACCGTATTGAGGTTTGGAGTGAACATCGACAAACCGATGTTTCGATTCACCCTCAGATCTCCAGGACTTCTATAAAACTAATCCGTACTCTGTCTGAACAATCAGCAATACCAGATCTTCTGGTCTTGCCGGCCAAGCGGGAAATGCAGCCACTTCTAACCGATTCAAGTGCCTCTAAGTGATATGTTGCACACAAAAAGTCACTTCCCCCTCGCTTCTTCCTTCATGAACAAGTGCTCATAACCCCGCCAACCACAACATTGTATGGGCTGTGGTCTTCTGTAGCATTCCGAGTTTGGACAACAAACTTGCATAAAATATGCAGCTTGGAGAGAACCAGCAGACGGGAAAAAGAAAATGCGTGTTTCTTTTAAATCGCTTGTCCTGTCCTAACTCCACTCTGGGGGGAAAAACTCCAGCCCGCGGAACGTTCCTATTAGTTTCCCTATTGCTGGAATACTGTGTCCATTGAAAGGACACGGAGCTGCAGTCTTCCGCATAAGGAGCGCCCCAATGCGTTGTTCAACTGCAGAGATTGGGGCCTAGCTAGGCGTCCAATCATGCTCATGGGCAGAAAAGGTTAAGGATATTCCTTGGGGCACTGATGAGGTAGGACACACTTGTTCTCAATGGAGGTCTCAATGACTAAAAATGGGTTTCAAGGTGGTGGAAAATGATCCTTTTGAGCTACTTGGTTTCACTTCGAAAGGGCAGGCTGATGACTTAACTCTAGTTGGATTTACCCCCATGCAGGCGAGGGAGAGTTTCTCTCCAAAAGGAAAAAAGTCATTGCGCACTTTTATTGAGACGGGACTGGGCATTTATCAGGTGTGACTATCCACCTGGGACCCTTACAAACTACCCCGCCCAGGATGCTGGCGGTCGATTACTTTTAATCCTTGCGTGGCAAGTTTTTATAAATATTCTGCTTACACAGCACAGGGTATTATTACGATTATGTTTTCTGAAAAGCGTCTATGCACATAAGCAGACTGTCTCAAGAAGGCGAAAATATAATCCTTTCTTTCCCATCCTGGCTTGCCACATTTCTTGCCGATGTCGGCCAGACCCTGTATCGACACAGCATGTGCCGGGGGCTGTTCCTCTTGGTTGTATTTTGTACACGCTAGCTAGAAGCGACTTATCCTCACGCCAACGCCATTTCATTTTTGGAAAGCCGACTCCCAGTTGAATATTGTATGAGCTACGGAATACATGCAATGCCACCTGTTCGATTCTGACAGAACCCCGAAGAATACGCTGGTGGGGTCGGGTGCAATTCTTTGAATGAATAATGCATTGCACATGTTACACCGTTCGTGCATGCTAGTATGAAGTGGACGTGTCATTATTTATTCTGCTTCGCTGCCAAGATCCCGGGAATATGGCCTGTCGGAGGAAATATTTTCAACCCATCCGCGCTCAGACCAAGTTTGCAGGGTTGTAATGAGATCTGCAGAAGCGACTACAGATGTACAGAATACATGTCCTTGGGATAAATCGAACCATAGCAACAGGAACACATAGCACGAGAGGGGGAAGGCAGCAGTGGAAAACATAAAGGGCCAAGATGCAAGAAGGAGAAAGGTTTTCAACGATTTGCTCACCCGATTTCAGGGTTCATTGGCTGTCTTTATTATCAACATAAAACTCTTGAGACGATCAACAATATACACACAAGTGCATGTCTATCGCATTTTATTTATTCTTTACTTATTCCGATGAGTTTTTGTATATCCTAGTATTTGCTGCGCAATGTCTTGGAGTAATCAAGCATTTATTCAACAACAAGGTAGGGAGGGTCAAGGCACTTCGGCCCGTCCCTAGCATTTTATTGATCCACCACCCCACGCGGGCCGCCGGCGGACACCAAAACCCAGCGCTCCACGTTCCAGAATTATGGGGAAAGCTTCCTAAGGATCACAACCATGAGTTCTCTAGGAGTTCAAGACATAATAGCAATCCATGGATATATACATATTACTTATGTTGGAAACCCTGTACAACTAAGAGAAAGAGAGATGACAAAAACGGCTTGCGCATGAACAACCGCGCCATACAGAAAAGAAAAGACGGAGCTGCCAATCACATCAACAGATTAGCGACATGAAATAAATTGTATGCATGCTCCCCATCTGCCAGACTCCACTGTTGGAGGTCTGCTTCAGGATCATTTAAAAAAGATTGCCCCATTATTGCTATCGTGTTTGACAACGGATTTTCTTGTGAGAAAGACTGCTTCCCGATGCCAGAAAAGACGCGAATGAACATTTTGCACGTAGTTCCGGGAATTCTGGAACTCAGAGGTTGCTGTGAAAGTCTGTAAAAGCTCCCTCACGAAAAAGACAGTCAAGAGAAGAACAAGGCCCAAACGACTCCACACTCAATGGCCTTCATTGCATCTGGAGAGGACTCAACTTTAAAAAATAAAAGAAATATGAAAAATTAAGCGCCCCTTAAAAGAGTGAGAACGACAATGCGATTGCAGAAAATCTCATTTTATGCAGAACAGAACCCGCCAGCAGCCTACGGCGCCAGTCATTGGGATGGTAATGAGAATTACGTATCTTGTTCTTTTCAGGCGGTACAGGAATGACCGGCGGCTGGGGTGGCATGCCTGCTGGCGTTTCAGAGGCACTCGACCTGGCCTTGTCGCTAAGGTGGTCAATATTGGTCTGGCGTCCGAATGAGAATATAGGAGAGCCTTGCTTGTCGTTCTGGTCCTGACATGCCTAGTAGGCAGATGGCAGTACTAATATCCAATGTACCCAACCCTTGGAAATACTGCCTGCTGCCTTGGTCATGGAAAGTTTTGTCCATGTCGGTTGCTACCTACCCAAGTAATGTGTTTCTCCCATACAAGGACGGACTGAGGTTGGATGCTGAGCGGTTAAAAAGGTCCCGGGTTTTAGTATTGTTCAGCAGAACTTGTTTATGCATCGCAATATCAGTCGCAGATGCAGATGATCGCAGATGATCGCAGATGATTCGCAAAGTTGTACTCCGTACAACTATTTGAATGGCTGGAATGCCACTTGGAGGCTAATACACGAAGAGCGATCCCGTTTCGATTTGAGCGGATGATACGGAGTACATGGACAGCTGCTTGGCGACTCAGCCATGGATCAAACTCACGCGCAATAGCTCAAGATGAAACCGGCAAATTTCTGTTTGGATAAAAGGACAAGAATGAAAATAACAGTTAGTTATTGGAGATAGAACTTGACAAGACTCCCCGATTCTTCCAGAAAAAAAAAAAAAAAAAAAATCAAGATAAAGATAAACAAAGCCACCCGCAGAAGACACGCGGTCGTCAGCTCTCAGCCCGCAAAAACAAAGCTGTCCAGTCAAATCCTCTCCCCTGCAGGCTGCAGGCGTTGACTTTGAACCAAGCAACCGATTCCATCCTCGCCCCTGTCGCGGGGAATCGGGTTGTTGCATTAAGCTGCGGGTTTTTGGAGCTAGACCGAGAGGGGATATTTGATCATACGATTATCAAGTATTCTATTCTGCGCGTGCATATCAAAGGAAATTGATGGTCGATTCTCCATGAAGCGTTTCTCTTCCTTTATTGTTTTTTATGCTATCTTGGTCAGCGGCCAGCTGCTACAGGAATGAATAAATAAAGTAACCAGTTTCTCCGTATGTGCTTTGCTCGACTCCTCCTTGCTTTCACATATCATTGTCACCACCAATCAAAAAACAAAACCCAGACTCAAACTAAAAAAGGTCCTTCGAAATATCTCTATCCATGTGTCAGCTTATTTTGTGGAGCAGTCTTGGGCTGTTGGGGATCTCTGTTACAAAGATAACCTCCGCGGTCATGTTGGACCTTCTTTTTCCCCACTGACCCGAGGACCATATGAAAATGCCCGGCGACTCCATATTTTTCGTTACTTTTTTTCTTTTTTCTTTGCTTTTTGCCTCCTTCGCCGGGAACTTCGAGATGCTTACACCGGACAACTGGATAGTCATGTAATAGTGAATGGGCTTGTCTTATGTGTGGTGGTGTATCGTATCAGAAAGAGAAACCAAACCAATATATCATACGCCTGCGTCTATACCTATATAAAGCACGGCCCTATTTAACCCTCTCCCTCGCCTCTATCTCCGACCAGCTGGATATATAGAAAATTTCCATTTCTTAACTCCACAAATGGACGTTCGATACTCGTCTTGCTCGTTCAAGTTCGGTAGTCATGGAAGGAAGAATTCAGCCACGTTACTTCTCATCTCAATTCCACAGTTCCTAAAGTTTCACGCTTGGGGTTTAAAGAATACACTGCAGCTATGGATATCGTGCTCACGGGGCAGTAATTTGATGGAATGTGGATGGGTTGGTGTTTAGATTTAGACGAAACGAGCAGAAAATGCGAGAAAGCTAGGGGATGTTTGTCCGAAGCTCGTATGATAATAACTGAATGATCTTATCATATCAATAGGTGAGAGTACTGATGGTAAAAGGTCCATTTATTTGATAATAGAAGGTGGATATTTCCATGAAGAGTAAACATAATAAAGGGGAACTACCCTTAGCATTTGGGGGATGGTCCGTCCAGGAGAAAATATGAATGATGAAATTGAAAATGAGGGTTGTCCAACACGATGAAGATCCAGATGCAAGATAAGTTAATGATGAAGATAAAATGGAAACGTGACGGAATAATATAATAGTGTAGGACATGGAGGGCTTGTATGTGTATATAGATGAAGAACTCACCAATAGATGGCTCGAGGAAAACAGTGGCTATGATAATAGAAGTATTTAGTTATCTAATACTGTGTGAGAGTATAGAAGGTAAAAGGGGTAGTGTAGGGGTAGCGGGGAGCTGCAAAACACTTGTAGAATATATGATATGAATCAGGACAAGGAGCTGCGGATTTGGTTGTTTGCTTTATTAGGGGCAAAGTCAATATTTTTGTTCGCTCGGTACCGTTAGGGTCATCAAGGGGTCGTGGGGGTAGGAGATGAGAAAGGAAAGGAACATGGGTGGAGGAGAGCCAAAAAAGAGAGAATAAATTGATATAAAGTGAAATACCCAAACAAGGAGGGGGATGGCAAGGATGATAATCAGCAAGAAGATTGGGTGATGAGAGCCAAGTTGACTACGAAATCGTTACTTTAGCGAGCCGCTCTTCCACTCGTCGAAGGAGTTCAGGATCGGGCTCTGGTTTGATTTTCTTCGGTCTGGTGGGTTGGAACAGATGCGGTGGTGAGCAAAAGGACAACATATTTAGATGGATATGGATAGGGAGGAAACTTACGGGTCCCTGATACAATCTGCGCACCGCTCATGCTGACAACTTGAACAGATTTTGTCTCCAGATTGGAACAGTTTCGAACGAACTGTGGCATGTCCACCTTACCCGTCGTCTCGGTTTCCGCCACACGCGTTCTTCAGTGCTCAAAAGGTGGATCTACATCCCCAGGGTAACCGTCAGGATATTTCTTCAGTTTCGGTCTAAATCATGACGGTTAGTCTCTTGAACCATGAACTTCCTCGTGCTGGCGGGTTGAATATAAGCTGGAAAACATACGGATCTCGAGGACACTTCTTGCACCGAATGTGCTCGCATTCTCCGCACACGGTTGCATCGCCAACGAACAGGGCCTGGCACCGATGACAGGTGCGACGCACTCGCTGTCTGATCGGCTTCCGCACGAGATCTTGACCTCCCGTGCGTGAAGGAATCGTAAGAACAGGCTTCTTGGACGAACCCGTAGCCTTGGACTTGTCCTTCTCATGGCATTCATCTTTGGGTTTCGCAGGTGGATAGCGGAAGCATTTCTTGCATCGCAAGTGTTGGCAGCCAGCGCACACTTTGTCCGCGCCAAATGTGGTGAGGCAGCGATGACAGTTGCGTCGAATTCTCATACGAACTGGTTTCTCAACCCGCTGCACGTTCCTGTCTGCGGGCTTCGACATCCATTCACCTGGCTCCAACGTCAATCCGTACTTGGCGAACAAAACACGCGCTTTCTCTTGTTGGAGAGTGCTCCATTGGTGAACCTGGACGGGTTCTGACGTCGCAGTCTTCCTCGCACTGGTGACGGCTGGTTTGTTGCTGAAGAGTGAAACGAAATGTGTCAGTATTGACAACTGACACCAAACCACACCTATCTGCCACAACATTGCTCCTTAAAGTTACTTACCTGGACGAAGTAACTGTCGCTTTTTCTCCAGACTTGCTGGATTCACCAATGATGTCGGTCATGCTCGAGACAGATGCTCGATTCCGACCCTTCAACACGGTCTTCACCCTCTTCATATATTTCCCGAGTCCGTCGTCTTTCTCTGCGCCGGTTTTCGCAGGATTCGTTGGTTCAGTCATTGCATCGATAACGGGAGTGATTTAGATGGACATTCAAGCGGATTCCAAATGCTTATAGGTTGGGGTGCACAAATAAATAAGGTGCTCCAAGACGTGATCAAACCAGGATGTCGGGATTTCGGGTACGATTACAATCCACCCAACAAATCAACAGGTCCAAATAGAAAGTAGTTGATATCCAAATCAAATCGCCGAAACTGATTTCAAATTCCTTTTGTTCCCAGAATCGAATACGGAGAGCTGGGTTATGAATTGAGTAGTACTCGTCTTGCGTGGCGACGAGTTGTTGGTCAGAAAATACACACGCGATCGACGGGGATTGATCACTTGGAAAGATGGGTATTCGTCGTGTAGAGTGGCGCTAGGATCTGAATATTTTCGTGTTGGATCGAGCGGATATTTGATAACTGGATGGCTTTAGAACTATCAGCTGCCTGACCGCAGGTTTGAATGGTGGGCGGCTGGACAGCAAACGAAGGGCGGATACAGCCCTAGAGGAGGCGACGGCAGAATGACGGAGCTCCGGCACCTGCGATAACTTGGAGATAGGGACGTCGAGGGTGAAGGATGGGTGGTGTTGAGGTTGAAAGGAGAGAACCAGAACAGCGAGAAAGGAGAGGAAGAAGAGGAAGTCCAGAAAGAGGAGTAAAGAGGAGTGAGATTGCCCAGGCAGAGGGATAGCGGTATTATTCGATTACAACGGCTCCGTTTAGCAGTACATATGCAGTACGGGCGCCATCACGACGATGGCACCACTGATGGCCAGTGGCGGGCGGGGGAGACCATGCAAGCCTCATTCCAGTGGGCTCCAACTTCGAGCAGGGTTCCCTGCCGGGACTGCGGGTGGGTTATCGGTATATCGTACCAAGGAATGTACTATGTAGGTACTTCAATCTCTGGGTACTTATAAATTCTGGTGGTTCTCCGTACCTTGCACAGAACTACTCCCTCTCAGCCCAATGAATGTTGCTGGTGTGCTGTAAGCTGGGGTTAGAGAACAGACGGCTCCAAAATGGCATGCTCAATGTGGACTCACTGGCTGGAGCTTTGCTGGGTTCACACAGCCAGAA